AAGCAAAATAGCAACTGCCCCATCAGTTGTGCTTTTCTGGATGCTGTAGGAGTTGCAAAAAATGTCTATTTGGCCCTTTACACTGCAGTTGTAACTGAGGCCTGGAAGCATTTGGCTTGCAATGTCAACAAGATGCTGTTTTCTGCCCCCTTAAATAAACTTTGTTTCTGCTACTTTAGTCCACTTTCATTTCTCAGAATAACCTGTTTGAGTTCAGATGCAGATTTAAAACCATGTATATTAACAGAAACAAAGTTAAGATTAAAATTAGCCATACATACAGTAATGTTGGCTATACATGAAAAACCACACACATCTTCACAAAACATACTATATTGTTTCTATGGTAACTTCTCAAAAGTATACAGTAGTTGCCTAATGAATATGTTAGCTATTACACAAATTAATGTAATAACATAAAATACACAAAACTAACAATATAGCCATGTTATGCCCCTAATGTATTAATTCTGCTCTTTTATATATTTGGGAAGTGTTCTGTTTTCTCTCTGCAGGAAGCACACAGCATGATCAGTGAGGCTTGTAGTTCAATGGAGTAGTGTTGTTTGATTCCACTTTGGTGTATTTATCAGATTTTACTGAAACTGGTTTCACTGAGAACATTTACATATTGTGCAATTATCATTATCATCTTAATCAACCAGCCCTAAGCAAACGCCACTACCACGGTTTGTGTCGCTGTGCTTATAACTGCTGAGGAAGCCACTAGAGCTGATATTCAGATATGGTAATTGATGTATGGTTTCTGCCAAACATTGCAACCGGCAGACCAATTACTACAGACGCTGCCCAATCACAGATGTCTCTTACAGGAGCGGATTAGAGAGACCCGATCAAAGATTTACAAAGAGGGTCCACTTGCTTTACTATGAATGGGGAAAAAAGAAGTTTGGCTGCCCCAGTGAACCAAGTCCCGCCTTTTGGTTAAAATAACCAATCGTTAGTCTATATAGCCATGCGGTTCTGTGCGGGGCTACTATGTACCTGCGTTGATTTTGACTAAGGATGCAGTAATTATTGATTTTGACTGTACAATTTTAGCCTGAGGAATAACCAAGCTTTAACAGTTTTCACGATTATTATGCATTCATTCAATTAAAAACACTACTAGTTTCGAAAATCACATGAAAACTCCTTATATTTTAAAGTGTTATTTATTGCTGCTTATTAGGCAAATAATACAGTACAAAATTATAATAACAAACAAAGATTAGTCCATTTCTCTTTGAACTTAAATAAAAAAAATTTCAAAGGTTTTTGGCATGTAATGTAACATGTAACAAGTAATCATTTTACACTGAAAAAACAACGAATAAATAAATTTATAAGAATAAATAAAAACAGCATTTGGCTAATGTAAATCTAAGCATCATATTAGTATTTCCCTTTTAAAGAGAACAGCTGTAGTCAAAGACTGCTGAACCTCTGTCTGAAAGGCACTTTTGATCAACTATATTATGAACTAGTTTGGTGTTTTAATTTTATGTTTTTTATTTTGTTAGTTTTTTTTTTAGAAATGTGTATATTCCATATAAAGTATGAAGCAGATCAGTCAGTTCTTGTCACGTTACTCGTGTGCACATCACTCCCAATAAGCACGCAAGGAAAGAAATAGCGAACTTGCATGTGCAAAAGACGTGATTTGTGAACGGCCCTTAGTTGACAGTCTCAGCCATAGTTATTTCACTGTGCGTGTTTATTAGCCTCGGTGTACAAGCTTGGAACTCTAAACCAGAGCAGAGTTTAGTTCCATGAAGAAATGCGGTGTTGAGAAGCCTTTATGATTAATTAACAGAGACGAGTTAAATGGCGGCCAATAGTGAAATCCGTTAATCGTTATATCCTTAAATCTGACAGGAGGAAAAAATATCACAGGACATTCCAACACATATCGTGTCCTTCCAGTGTCATCCTGCAGTTTTTGCTCCAGGTTTGGTCTCCATCATTTCAGTGTTTTTAACGCAACCGCTTGTTACCATGGAAACAGCTGTAAATGAGATTGGTGTCATGGCAGTCTTTTTAGATGTGCAGTCAAAGACAATAGATGACAAGCCAAAAAGGTGTAACGGCTAATGCTAACGCCAGTACATGAGGAAGGAAACCAGAGGTTATATTGTTTTAAAGAAAGTCAAAGGGGGGAGAGGCGTCACTACACGGAATAGCAGCTTGTGTGAGAAAATAACTTGTTTAATCAGTCACTTGTTTAACTAATTTAATCAGTCAAAAGTCTGTTTTCTTCAACATGTTTTACACTAAATTGAACATTCCGAATGTGTTTTTTACCCTAATAAGAATGTTATTTTTAAGAGAAGGCAGGGTGGGGGATGCTGCAAGGTAGGGAATGTCAACCGTGAGCGCTGACCAGTGGTGTTGATGCTGTTAGATGACTGGCTGAGGTGCCTTGTGGAATCTATGTTGGCTGCTTTTTCAATAGTAAGTAATACACAGATTTACATCTCCATATACAGTAGTTTACGAAATTTAGTAGCAAATTTGAAATGACATGTTTTAATTGCAATTAAGACTTAAGTAACAACAGTAATGGGGCAGGTCACTTCAGATTGTGTTGTTGATTTGAAATATGTAATGAAATTGAGAGTGCAGCAAGCAGTTTTTGAGATTTCAGGATTGCCCCATTCATTTTATTAGGACTTTGGTCTTGGATGAACTACGCAGGGGTGGAGGCTGAGTAGACCTATCGTGGTAGTCAATGTATTGACTTATCGTGCGATATAACAAAATGGTTTTTAAGATGCTGCTGATGATAATTAGGCTGCATAATATAATTTTTTTTTTGTCAAACGCTCTGCATTCTGCTTGTTGTGGAAGGCTGGGTTTATGCAGCATCCCCACGCACGCCGCGCACACACACAGAGAGACAGACCGCGTGCGAGAGAGAGTAGATAGTGGAGGTGAAGAACACAAGACGGAAACTCACTGACTTGTGTTTAAAAGCTAAAATCAGTTAGGAAAAACAAGTCGTGGTGGACTTGGTTTCAAAGCCACAGTCTTCAGCTGGATGTATTTATCTGCCAGTGCAAATATGAACGTGACAGCTCGAAATAGCACACACTCACGGACAGGTATCATTACAGTATATAAAATATAAAAATGTCCAGATTTTCACAACATGTTACTGTCATTTTTCACAATAAATTACATTAGTATCACTTTACAGGATTTAACTGTGTTGTATTCATAATTGTATTGTGAAATTAAGGCAGGTAGCATGATTACAGTAAATTACTGTAAAAAGGGCTATATCTTTTGCATGTTAGTTATAGGAATTCAAACTCTTTTTATTTCATTCAACATATTCATTAATACAAATGACCTTTTATGCCAGTATTGGCACTTTTTTGATATTTAAAAATAACGATGTTATTGCAGATCCAAAAACAATTTGATTACATCTTCAAAAATAACTTGAAAAATCATCATCCTGTTTTGAAATGACATGAATGTCATTGTGAATTTTCAAGTTTGGGTGCACTGCACCTCCATTTAAATTTATAAGGTTAACACGGAAATATGAAATAATTTTATAATAATTACAAATAACTTTGTGCTTAGACAAAAATGCAACAAACTGGAACAAAAGTAATTGATTCATAAAACCAAACACTCTTAAACACCCAAAATGATGTCAAAGTGAAGGTAAATGTCAGAATGAATAGCAGAGGAACGCCTGCTTCACAGTAAAATATAGTTAATTTTACAAGATAATACTTTAAAATCACAGTAATAGACTTTACTATCTACTGTAAAGTTACACTATATGGCTGTAATTTCACAGTAATTTAATGTAACAAAATCACAGTAAACTACCTCATGGTAGTTTGCTGTAAATTTACATATAGGATTTTACTGTAAAAGTAATGCAATTATCAGCCAGTAAATTTATTTATAATTATTATTGTAAATTTAGGTTTACATTTTTAGCTAAAGAGATGTAGCCGTTAAACATGCAAACAATTAACAAACAGTCTTGTCCTGGAATATGCCTGATTATTAAAAAAATTGGCACCTGAGTTGCATTCAAAGTCTACTTTAGACTTGCACTTTTTTGTTTATATCTACTATTTATTATTATTTTTTTGCTTTAAGATATATTTTTCCACATGTTTAAATTTCAAACCTAAATATTCTTAAAAATAAAATGTTCTTTGAAAAATTAAGAGTACCTGAATTATTACACTATTATGTTGTAAAAATGTATTAATTTTCTTTAGTGATACAAGTTATAAAGTGGCAATAATATAATTTATCGCAATTAATTTGGGTGCAATATATCACCCAGCAAAAAACTAGATAACGTGACAGCCCTAATGCTGAGGTTGCAAATATAAGCGAACAGACTTTCCCTAAAAAACATTTCAGAAACTGTGAGGAAAGAACTGATTTTGTACTATGAGCCACAGAATTTTTTAAAAAGTGATTTTGGCCTTGAATGGATATAAACACATTGCAGAAGACTTCCAAATAACAGTAAGAAACCTATAAAATAGTATAATACCTGCATGTCACAATGACATTCAACACAGCTCAACCTATCGGGATTCAGAGTAAGTACTATTTATTTTATACTACACTTCTTCCCTGCAAAATTGCCCTTGGTTACATCAACAGAAGAGCAAGAAGCAAACAAGATCAATTGTGATTTCATGATCTTTGTTCAGGCGTTCTCACATGTACACACACACAGATCAGATTCAGTCCCAGCAGTCGAATCGTCTTTAGCTCTGCAGCTTAGAGCCGGTGATAAACAACAGACACAAACAAACAGAGAAATGATTAGGGACGACGAACTGAGCAAGCACGTCTCACCGTTCCAGTGTGTGAGTTAAAAATGGCACAAAACAGTGGATGTAGATGGAATTATGCGAGTCTGTTTTCACCAGCCTGAACCAAATCATCCCACAAGTGCAGTCATTTACATGTAAATGAGACTCCAGCATGCACGTGCGCTCCTTACTTACCGAAGATGTTGGTGGAATGTCCTTTCTTGGCGAGGGGTTTGAGCTCATTGTGGCCCCAGCCGTATTGTCTGTAGCTGTCCCACGCATGCTTCATCATCTACAACACAGAAATGACAGGAGGTTAGCCTTACCCATGAATACCAAAAAAGTGCAATGGATATCTGCACTATAGCACACTAATACAAGCCATATCCAATTGATTGGTTCGTTTAAAGCGACATGACATTTTTATGGCAAACTAGTCATGCACAAAAATTACAATTCTGCAGGGGAAAAAGTCAGGAGCAGCAGCAGTCATAATGATAAATACATAAAAAAACTGTTAATTTTAACTAGGGCTGCACAATATATCATTTTAGCATCGAAATCGCAAGGAGTAAATCTGCAATAGTCACATCGTAGGATATGCAATGTCAAATTGGGATTTTAATTAACCAAAAACCATTGAAGTCAGAGAAAAGTTTAACTCTAGTTTAATAGTGTGAAAGATTTTTTTCATAAGTGTTTTTATATGGCCTGTGAGTGTAAGATTTCAAGCTTATTTAAACCATTTGTTTACAAGAAACTATAAAGTTAACAACTTAAAGACAAATTGTTTAAATATTTATACAATGGGTATAGTCTTATTTTATATTCAATTATTGAATTTCTGTACCTCAATACTGAAAACCATACAGTGATGTTTATTTAATTTTAATAATTTTATTCCGTTTTCATCTGTGCTTTACTTTTGAAATTGTATAAATAATAGAGATGCACTCCGTTAAAAAAGTTTTCCCAATCAATGTAAAATCATTCAAAGTTCAATGCAAAAAGAGAGACATTGGCTTTTACAGAGTTAGCACAGCAAAGCCTATAGCGAGGGGACTACAAAAAATACAACTGGGTCAATGACATCATAAAGCCTTTAGGTTATGCACATACACCCCACACAGCTAAAGGGTGTGGCCAGATGCGCTGTGATATTGCAGAGAAAGCCAAAATTCCGTCTAAATGCTGCTTTTTGACATGGCTTCTTCTGTTTCTGTATTTTTGCTTCCAAAGGACATAAAACAAAAACAGAAGTGATTACAGTTTAGTTTTAATTGCGTTGAAGAGAATTATAAAAAAAAAAAAAAAAGCTAGCATTTGACAAAGGACAGCTTCCAGAATCTTTCCCAGTTCAGAGCTGGATTCGAAGAGGAGCAGCTCCAACCATAATAGACGAAGTGGATTGTGGGCCACAACCTGTAAGTATTATTATTTGTTTAAATTGATCTATTACATGCATAGTGTCTAGCATTAACATTATGTTGTAGCAAGGACATAAACAAGAATCTAAGTGATGGGATATGCATTTGGCACCATTAACAAATTAGCTACAAATTCATATTTATCCATCAAATTGCTGTAAAAACTCACAATCTTCACCAGAGCTGCTGTCTCTCTATGCGGTTACTTTCCTTGTGTTCTTCATCTCAAATAACAAACTTGCAAAAGATATGTGAACGCTTCATATTACTTACACATGGTTAGAACATGAATATTTATGAAAGACACTTGTCAGTTTTTATTTTAGAGAGCAGGCATGAGGTTCAGCTGTGTCCTCAGTGTCATTTTCTGTCTGATTCAGGCTCAAAGTGATACGGCTAACAGCTATTCTGGCTGACATTATTTATACAGCAGAGGCAAAGCTGATTAGAGCCTCTTGAGAGTGGACTGTCTGAGGAACTGGGAAGTATAATTGTCGTTTTCATGTTAGCGGAGTAACAGTATATAATTAGAGTAAGTTATATAAACAAAAACGTGATGAACTTAACTTAAAAATACACTCTGGACCACCCCTTTAATCAAACAAAATCCTAAAAATGTAACTTGATAGACCATTTATTAAATATTGTTGATTTAAAAATTAAAAGATTGATGATTTCAAATAATTGGACATGAACTGGATTATTCACATTTATTTTTCCAACTATACAAAACAAACAAACAAGGTAAACAGCATTTGAAAGAACATATAAACCAATTTCACATAGCGCTGATTTTACCTCAAATTTGAGATCAAATATAAACAGTTCAAATGTAATGGTGGCATGATTTTTAAAACGTATACAGTCAAGCCTAAAATTATTCATACCACAGAGGTAGTTTTCTTCTAGTTCACACTGAAGTTCATGAACATTGAATGGTATTCCTGAGGTAAATGTAACCTTACATTGGTAAAAACCTGTCAGAGAAACGAGTTTGAAGTAGTTCTAAGTTCTACCTCTACTGTAGTTTATCCACGTCACAAACCCACGCTTTAACTATTTAAACATGATTGTATCAGTCAATGATTTTGTATTTTGGCCTGTATTTCCTGTTGCTTCACTACTGACAACCGGTTTTAGGAACGACCAGTGGGTTTTTTTGAACACAAACTGGAAACAACTCAGATGTTCAATACAAAATGTATCAACATGAAAGCCAAGAAGCTGTTTGTTCTGATGACACAATGACACATTTTAACAGGGTAGAATAACGCAGGGATGCTCAAAGGCCTTTGATATGAAAGATGAATCGTCACAGAGAGATGTCCTGTTACCCAGAAGCCCCCGCTGTGACCATGACCGCGTCTGCTGCTCTGTCATTCCCCTTTCAGGTCACTGGCCAGCAGCACCCTGTCGATGTATCTTCACTCTGTGCGTGTGTGTTTTTCCTTTTTTTTTTCCCCACTGGAGAAAGATGAATGGACACAGTGTGTGTCTGCGTCTCTAAGCGTGTCTTTGTCTCAGCTGTGGCTCTAGGCGTGCTCTCTCGCGCTCGCTTCTATTAAACGGCTGGCTGAGATTCAGCTCCAAGCCACTCCACATTTAGACGTGTCTTCAAACATTAGCACTTTGAAAGAATACTTCCTCCAAAGCTGAATACTTGTAAAAGGGGTTGATGAGGTGCGTGAAAAGCAATAGAATAAAATTGTAACTTCTGCTCCACGAGCTAGCAGGCTGGCTAGCTGTCTACTGTCTTTGTGGCCCAAAAAACACTTCATGTTTAATAGACACGAGTATGCAAATAGCAATGCAAAGTGCTAAGTTTTTATGATTTGCATAGCACACACATTGAAATTGCTCTACTTTGTCCAAAATCTCTGATGAAAAAAATGCTATGTTTTTAATAATGACTCGAGCTGGTTCTTTACTGGTTCCTTGCTGGTATACCTTACCAGCATTTGCTGTTTTTTAACAGCAAGGATGCCAACAAAGACTGTTGTTTCACCGATGAAACAGAATAAAAACAGACTACTTGAGACAGTAACAAAAATAGCTGTCTGCTTTGAGAACTCTGTTGTGTGAGGAAATTAAATGGGATTCATGCTAGTTTATCTTAAACAAGTACAATACAATTCAATTCATCTGTTCTAACTTTCTGGAAGAAAAATAGCACAGACACTGGAGAAAGTTGAAACTTTTTGGTAGATGTTTTGATCATCTATGTTTGTGAATACTAACAAATGCCTCCTGCCAAATATATACTGTAGCCATTCAAAATGTACTCTGTCAAAATCTTTTCATACGGTAAACTTCAAGATCCACTCACAATGTTTAAAAACAACTAAGTTGCATCTGAAATAATTAAAGATCTCCCAGGGTGACCACAAAGAGTAGTACTGGTGACTGATTATGCATTTTTAATTGATCCGTATCGCTAACCTAAGCTAGACCTTGTCATGAAACTCTTCTCCAGTAGGTAGTTGAAAATTCCAATTCCATTACAAATATAATAATAAAATAAATAAGCTGAAATTAACCAAACAAATTAAGTTGAACAATACTTAATTAAATTTGTTTGTTTTAATTCCACACGAATAAATATTTTACATCCACTTACCTTAAAAAATTTAGTTAATCCAATAAATCCATTTTCCTTTGTAAATGCATGTGATGCACCAGAGCACTTCCCGTTCTGCATGGTTGTCAGTTGTTCATTTGTTCTCTTGCAATAAACTAAGCTAATACTAAATCAAAGTAAAGTTTAACTACCATCATCACTGTAATGCCTTGAGATGAGCTGCGTCTTTCACTTTTTGCACCACATTGTTTAAATAGCAAATCCATTTGCGCTACTTTGTGGACTCAGGGGTGTACCGGTCTAAAAAGAAGGTGTGTTAAAGTGCATTGTTGGCACCTTGCTGTCAAGAAACTGAAAAAGACCACACCATTGACCAAGTAAAAGCTGGTCTAAAATCCAGCTCAGAGCGCTTTAGTTATGTATGTACAGAATGTAGAGCAATACACAAATATCTTCACATATAAACAAAACTAAATAAAGGATTAAAATGTTACGAAGATTATTATTTACTACATAGATTTTTTTTTAAAAATCTCTATCTCCATGTCCGAGGGGCTTTTTTCAGTTTATTCATTACAATTTGCATTTGTATAATGTTATAGTATTATAAAGTATTATTTATTATATTCATACGCATATTTGTTTTAATAAAAACAAGTTAAGATCTGTCCACCCGCAGGGTTTAGAGACGTCTGCATCCCCATATTGGGGATAAGAATAGGACGTGTGTTTAGATATAACTTTTTTTGACCATACTTCATTTTTATTGTTCATTTATTAATTTGCTGGAAATCAGAACTGAATTGAAAAAGTTTTAAAACAAATCTTTGAGGTTAACAAATGAAATTAAATATGTAGGCTATAGATGTCTTCAGTGGAGTGTGTACAACACCGTTTCCTTATCCACAAATATAAAAGAGTAAAGAGTTAAAGTAAAATAAAGAGAAAGTAAAGAGGCCAAATGGAAGAGGCTCATTCTTTATCCTCCGTGCTCAAGGATTCAGATTGTCCATTCAGCTTTTCCTCTTACAAAGTCCGCAATGTAAATAGCAAATACGCCATGCCGCGACGTAGCTGACTCTTCAAGGGAATGGGAGATGAGACTCTGATTGGCTTAATGCATGTTATGGTCAAAACACAGACATAACTTATTCACCCTGTAAAGCAGAGTGTATTTTCCCATCCTTAAAACAACAAAAGTGGATTCAGACACACCCTTAATGCTTTTGCGCCATGTGCTTCAGACTTTGTGCCTAGATCGTTAAAATAGAGTCCTCAGTTTCACGT